CATTTAAAATCTACAACCCTCTATAAAAGCTATCAAATGAAAAATACTAAATAGCATTCAACTCCAAGCCCATTACCATTCCAAGCCTATGAAAAGGTTGTAAAATATCCAGGAGTAAGCAGCATGCCTGTCTTATTCAAATCCATGTTCTCTGTGTCTAATATGTGGTAAATGCTCATGTTTCGCTGTGTATGTTACATTTTGAGTGCTCAGGAGGTACTCAGTAGGACAGAAATAAGATCATGTGAAGATAAAGAAATGCATGTGGCTGGAATATTGAGTTGCAAGATTGTTAAAGACATCATCAGCCCAGGATTAAATAAACAAAGAAACAGACAACATTAGAATACAATGCCAAGTAAATCTCTCAATTTAAAAAATGTTCTTTACTAGAATTTAACCTTATGTCTCTTTAAGGCATCTCAGGATACAAAGAGAGTTTTAAAGTAAGAATGTAAAGGTCTCATTTCATTACATTTGCTCTGGTTACAGTGATAAGGGTAATTCTGAAAATTTTAAAAATGATTACACTGTGTGCAGAAAAATATATGTAATATTTCAAAAATATTTCCATCTACATAACATGCCTAAGTAAGTCTATGTTATAATGTAAGCATGTTATGTAGGAAATGATTCTTTGTAGTTTGGAACAGTGGAAATCTAAAGACCTGGTTTCAAAGAATTAAGACTCTTCAGTAGAAAATTCAAACTCTAAAATGATAACATCAGGAGATATGAAGGCAAGTCCAAAAAAGAAAGAAAAAAGAAAAGAAAGTTTTAACTGCAATTTATATAGGAAAAACCTAAAAATAAAAGTAAAAGCTGTTTTCTATACTAGAATACAGATGAGTCATGAGTTCTATTTTGTTTATGTAAAGCTTGCTTGCTTCTTATTGTTTATAACTAAAGAATATTAAGATGTATATAGCCCTAACTACCATCCTCTTTCTTCCCTTTTTCAAGTAAGTTTCTAAGTACCTAATCATGTAACAGTTCTGATTTTTTATTCAGTTCTCAACCCAGCATCACCTGGCTTGCATCAATATCATTCTTTTGAAAGTACTAGGATAAACAATGATCTATGATTCTAAAATTTCTATATACACTTTAGTGTACACACACTGAGCATCTCTATTACAATTATAAGTAATCCAATCCTTTGTCTTCCACAAATCTAATGTTTTTTCTTCTACTTATTAAAAACGTATTACATTTATCCATTTATTGTGTGTATGCATATGCACACTTTTTCTGTGTGTGTGTATGTGTGTGTGTATGTGTGTGTAAATCTAGGGACTACTTCAAAAGACATGGTGTGACTGGCAGAGAGCTAGAGATTACATGGATGCCTGAGATAGTCTCTATCTTGAGTCAAGTGTTAGTACCACGTATGGATTGACATTATGCAACTGTTCAAGCTATACAATAACTACTGTATCATTTTCAGTATATTAGACTTGTATAAAAGTTTTCAAAAATTTTTTAACATGAAATATGTTTAAAAATATAATTAATTAATTGAAGGGCCAGATTAGAGAAACTCCCAGGATGCAGGTCTGCAATTAGAAGGGGGGAAAAAAGTGAAAGAATAAATGTTCTTACAAAAGACCTTACAAAAAACCTGGGTTTAATTCCCAGTATCCATATGGCAGATAATAACCATCCATAACTCCAGTTCCAGGGGATCTGACACCTGCTTCTGACCTCCATGGGCATTACAAGACACAGGTACACCCACATACATGCAGACGATACACTCATACACATAAAATAAAAATAACAAATAATTTTTTAAAATTCGACATCATTACTTATTAGGGAAATACAAATAAAAACCACAATGAGATACTAATTTACATCCAGGTTAGCTAGAACAAAACAAACATTACAGGTCCTAACAAATAATGATAAAGAAAGGTGGAAATTAGCCTTTTCATCCATTGATTGTATGTAAAGTGGTGAAATCACTTTGGACAACAGTGTCAGCGCCTCAAAAGTTTAAGCATACAAGTTACCACATTATAGAACAATTCTACCCTTCAGAATATATCTAGTAGAAATTAAAACATATTCATCCCTCCACCCCCAAAAGCCAGGCCATTGTACATAAAAGACAGAAATAGTGTGGGGGTGCACACACTTAATTCCAGCACATATGAGGCAGAGGAAGGCAGATCTCTGAGTTCCAGGCCAGCCAGGGCCACAAAATGAAACCCTGTCTCAAAAACAAAGCAAACAAACAAACAAGATGAAAGTAGAAACATCCTATAATGGTTAGTTTTAACTGTCAATGTGACAGAATCATGTGGATCAGAAAAGTCTCAAGGAAGGATCAGGTTGGCCTGTGGAAATGTCTGTGGGGGGTGGTTGTCTTGACAACCTTAATTTCCACGGCACCATTGCCTAGACAGAGATTTCTACATTAAGTTAAGGCTGGAGAAAGCAAGCTAAATACATATAAGCATGCCAGAAATTAATATATTGCTTTCTTTGCAACTGTGGATGTAATATGTCCAGCTAATTCAGGTTCCTGCTGCCTTGACTTCCCCACAATGGTAAACTATAACACAGAATGGTAAGAGAAGTGAACACTTTCCCCCTTACAATTGCTTGTCCTGGTATTTTATAACAACAACAGGAAATACAATTAAGACATACTCAAAATGTCCATCAGCTCATACACATATAAATAAAATATGGTATATATACACAAGATGGAATATTATTTACCCACAAAAGAATGAAAATTACTACAACATAAGTTGATCTTAAACTGTCAATCACTGAAGACCATACACTATGAATCCAGTAATATGAAATATCTAAAATACCAAATTCACGCAGATCAGGAAATGTCACAGGCAAGGGATCAGAAGGAATGGGGAGCAAATGCCAATGAGCATAATACTTATTCTGCTAAACAGATATAGTATTTAAGCAATTCCTAATCACTTACTGTTATACCCATCAATTAATGCTTTTCTCAACTCTTACAAAGAAGCTTTCTCATGCAGCAGATGGTGATTAACACAGAAACCCACAACTGGCCAAGGTGCAGAAAATAAGAGACTGCAGAGTGATTACTGCTGCATTAGACCCTATAATTTTATGATTTTATCATAATGGTATGTATATTTTTAAGGATCAACATTAATGTCTGGCAATGAAATCCCATTTACTTCTGATATGAAAAATACTTTTTATTTTATTGTTTTATTTTTGTGGTACTATGGGTTGCACGGTTCTAAAACATGCTAAGAAAGTGCTCTGCCTTGGAATGATATCCCTGACTGAGAAAACTAGTTTTTAAAAAAAATTTTATTTATTATTTTTATTTTATGTGTATGAGTACGTGTATTGCCTGCACGTAGGTAAGTGCACCTGTGTTGTGCAATGCCCGCAGAGGTCAGAAGGGGCTGTCGGATCCCCTGGTACTGGAGGTAGGAACAGCTGTTAGGTGCCATGTGGATGCTGGGATTTGAACCCGAGTCTTCTGCAAGAACAGTGTTCTTAACCGCTGAGCCATCTCTCCAGCCCCAGAAAACTAGTTTTTAATGGAACTTAAATGAAATGGTTTCATTTTCTTGATACTGAAAGAGAAACCAACATCATATTCAGAGATGAAGTTTTCACAGACTACCTTTTTTTTTTTAAGTGACAGAATGTACAGTAATCTGAATATCAAGTTTCCTATTCTTACATCCCAATAATATGAACAAGGTGTTGACCTATTTAGAGCTGTCAAAAATTTCAGACTTGTTCTTAAAATACAGATTCACATTATTTACTTTGTGAAGCAAAACTTTTCCAGGTTCACCTTTTGTTTGAAATGAATATGTCAAAGTTCAAAGAGGGTATGAATTTGGAACTGAAAGTTCTGCAGTATAAGAAATCAAGTATATATTGAAAAAGAATCATGGCTCAAGCCAGCTCACAATTATTTTCTTTGTGTAAATAAATTAGAAATCTAAAAATGTATTATAGTTGATGTTGATAATATTCTTTTTAAAATATTTTTATTTATATGTGTATGAGTGTATTGCCTGCATGTATGTGAGTGCACTTGTCTCATGCAATGCCACGGAGGTCTGAGGAGGGCTTTGGATTCCCCTGGAACTGGAATTAAGGATGGTTTGTAGCCACCATGTGGGTGCTGGGAATCGAACCCAGGTCCTCTGCAAGAGCAGTCAGTGCTATTAACGGCTGAGCCATCTGTGCTGGATAGCTTTAGTGTCAACTTGACACACCTGGGTTGAGGGTGCCTCAGTTGGGGAATTGCCTCTATTGGACTGGCCTGTAGCTATGTCCATGGGGCAGCTGCTTGATGAGTGATATGGGAGGGCCCAGCTCTCTGTGGGTGGTACCACCCCTGGGCAGGTGGGCCTGTGTTGCATAAGAAAGCAGGCTGAGCAGAGGCCAGGGGAGCAAGCCAGTAAGCAGTGATCTTCCATGGCCTGTGCTCCAGCTCCTGCCTCCAGGTTCCTGCACTGAGTTCCTACCTTGGGCTCACTGATGAACTGTGACCTGGGAGATGTAAGACAAATAAACGCTTTGCTCCCCAAGTTGGTAGTGGTCAGACTGTTTTATCACAGCAATGAAGAACAAACTACGACACCATCTCTCCAGCCCCAATGTTGATAATATATTCTATTACTTTTATACAGTATATTCATTCCTAAATCAAGCGGCTTTAAGTAAAATCAAACTCATTCTTATTTCATCCTAATGAAAGTATCCAAAACCAACTTTGCTCCCAATATTTCCTAGGTTTACATTCTCATAATTATATCATAATGCATATTTTATAGGTGATTTACATTTATACACATAAATAAATAATAATTAAAAGGTATGACAGCACTAAAATACACTAATAATTTGGTTTGGTTATGAAACTCTCTCACATAGAAGTTGGTTTACATGTATACTAGTGTATTTAAAAAACCCTAAAACTGCAAGGATAAAATATCAATCATAAGAGTAAATTATTTTTAATGTACCTTCCTCCAGGATAGGCCGTGGGATGACAAAAGGAATTTCCTGCAGAGGTTCCATACACTTGTGACCAGCGCTGATAATCTTTATTTGAGGAAAACAAAAAACAAGTGTTCCTGGTATGCTGGTTTGTCCATGGTACCAACTTCTTACAGTTCCAGGAATGTCACCAGATACAATTGTACTCGGGGAGGGCAGGTTGTCATTGGGAATGAACACACAGCAAGAATGTACTTCAAGCTAGAAAATAAAAGCAGAATTAAAATATTTGAATCAGATTAATCATATACTCCTAATATCTTCATCACAGTGAATAGTGAGGATAAAAATGGAAACATGTACTATGTATGCCTCCATGAGTTACTTTTACTAAGAAACCCAAACAACAATCGAAAAGGTGTTTTTCCAGGCTATAAACTTGATTGAAAGCACCCAGTGACATGAAGTAAAAAGTGAAGCTACCCTTCTCCAGTTACTTACAAGAATCACGACTAAGAAAATGTGCTGAAAAATGGTGAAAGAAATCTTCCTGCTTTTATAGTTAGTTCATCAGATTTTGTTAACAGCAGCCAAATAAAGCTATACGACTGTCTTTACTTTTTAAAAAAGCTATCGTGATATCTGCTTACCCCTTATATTTTAAAATAATAGACTAATATAGAAGAAACATATTTATAACATTCAGTTCATAGCACTAAACAATCGTTAAAAGAACATATTTGTATCACAAAATTTCTTTTTTGTATATACCCAAAGGTACACGCACACACACACACACACACACACACGCGCACACACACACACACATATATATAATTACACTTTTGTATATAGACAAATGCATGGTAATATGAAAAGTTTAAATCTTAAAAACCAAAGACTATCGTTTTATTCATTCTTCAAATCATTAAATTGTGATTTCATGTACGATGTTTAATAGCCCTTTAAAATTACTCAAGTATAGTTACTTAAAATACCACATCTTTAGAGTGTTAAGACCACATAAGCCCAAATTCAAAACTCAATGGTCTCTATGTGTTGCAAAAAGAAGCTTCTTTGATGAGGGGTGAAAGGTGCATTTCTCTATAAGTATGAGGATGCATATTTAGAATAAAGTAAGAAATTGCATTGGTCTAGGGATGTGGCAAAAGTAACTTTTTCTCTAGGATCTATGACCTCTCTAGCCATGTGTATTTAGCTATGTTTTACAGTACCATACATGAGTTCCCTCCCATTGAGTGGTCTTTAATCCCAATTAGACAGTTGTTGATTACCCCCAAGATAGAAATGCCACTATTGCAACAATAGCAACAGTTTCCTGGGTCAGTTATTGTTGTTTACTAGGCTTTACATCTGTGTAGGACCACTGATATGTTTTCTCCTTGGCAGCTAGTATAGTATCCTCTGATACCATAAGAGCTAGTCTTCAGAAAGGATGCTTCAAGGTCAGTTCCAGCTCTATTGCTCCAAGTCTCGAGTCTTAAGTATGTCCTGCCTTCAGCAATAGGATCTTACCCTCAAGCTTTGGGAGGCAATCTAGGGCTGTGTTAATATCCTGTGTTACTTTGGGAGTCTCATGGACTATCTTGAACAATATCTCAAAGGGAAGTCTGATCTGCCTGGCACTGTGCTTTTTGTTATATAGCCTTCAGCTATATACATGAACTCATGTATGTATTGCGTAAGTATTTTTCAGTAGGACTTTGCACTAAAACATTTCCCTCTGCTTTATCATGCCATCTAAGCATTATTTATCTCTCCTCTCACTCCCCTCTGTATAACAATCTCTACTCCCTCCCCAGTAAAGTAACTCCCACTTTTCTCATTTCCCCCTGAAAACACCTGTCTCTTACTATCTTCCTCCCTTGAAATAGTTCCTTCCTCCCCCTTTCTCCCATGGTTCCTTTCTATTGTCCACATATCTTACAGTTACATCAAGATATACTCACATCTAAGGATTTGTAGCTAAGATCCACAAATGAGAAAGAACATATGTCATTTGTTTTCCTGAGTCTGTGTTACTTCACTGTTACAGAGTTCCAGAACTCATCAAACACAAAGAATAAGTGTCTATCAGACACTTAACCCTAAGTAACACATCTGTTACTTTCTCAAACTGTCTCAAATTATACTATACTTAAATTATTTTGTTATGCAAACATAAACTATAATTTCATGGTTTTCTATTAAAATTGTGAATCAAAGATATGATTTAGAAATGTGTTAAAAGACTTTTAATTAGGGGGCTGGAGAGATGGTTCATCAGTTAAGAGCACTGGCTACTCCTGCAGTGGACCTGGGTTAGGTTCCCAGCACCCACAAGGCAGCTAACAACTTCTGTAACTCCAGTTCCAGGAAATTTCACACCCCTTCTTGCCTTCACAAACATTTCACTAGCATACAAATAAACAATTGTTTGTGTTTCCTTCATATTTTGGGTGTAGCCAAACTACTGAGTTCACTGAAGAAAATACATTTTTCCAAAAAAAAATGCATCATGACACAAAAACTTACTTATTTTAATTCTAGAATTTTATCTCACAGCTTTGGCAATTTAAGAATTTGTATGTTAAATACTTGATAGGTTCAAGGTCAGAACACACTTTATTCAGAAATAAGCCTATATAGTCTCATAGGTTCAAGACCAGAACACACTTTATTCAGAAATAAGTCTATATATTCTCATATGTACTAGAAAGTTTTAAAAATATAATTCACTAGAAATGTTTAATTGTACAATTCAAAATGACATACAAAGTGAGCATTCTTTCCTAATTCAAGGAAAAAGGTCAAAATATGAATAGTAAAATAAGAGCAAATCATATAGATATTAATGTTATGTTGAAAAATGATAGCAAGATTGTGAATCCATTAGTTTAGTATTATAAATTTGTGATCATATACCTGTTCTTAGGAACTTGATTTTAAGTGTGCATAACTTCGAAAATCATGACACATCTCATTCCACTAACTCAAAAATCAATTATTTCATGAAGTGTAAAGAATGAATAATGCATCCACAATCAACAATACATTGATAAATGAGTTATATAACAACTCTGAAAGATAAGCCTTCTGAAATATATTTTAAGGGTTCCTTTAGTGACTAGAATCAGAATATACATGTAATACAAGTAGCTAACAATTGTTATAATGTAACATCAATTCTATATATTGAGGCCATTACACTAATCTTTTCATACTTTCAGAATAACTCCTAAACTGTATGTCTAAAACAGTGGTTCTAATGTAAAATGTTGAATGATTTATATTATTGAATATAAATTTGCAGCAGTAAATTCTGCATTAATGTAAGGATCTGACAATCCTAGGGAAAGAAAATGAAGTAATCTGCCAGTAAGACATTCTGAAGCTAGGGGTCAGATTATGCTCATGGAAACCACCTGGTTGGGACCCTCTGAGCCACACCAAACACAAATGATCTTAAAAAAAAGATATATATATATATATATATATATCCTCTTCATTAATGCACCACAGATGGACTATTACTTCATTTTTCCATGGCAACATCCTTTCTGTTTCAAGGATCTTGTTTCAGTTTTGGTAGCAACGTGTTCTTTTGCCAATATTGAACACATTCATGTGTTAAAGTAGGGGGATTATTACAAATTCCTGAAGTAGAATCACCTCTATTTTGATTCCTATTAGGTCAAGGCTACATATCCAAGTATCAAATACTGAAGGTAAACCAATAAAGTAAAAAATTATTTGATATTCTTAAACAAATAAAATGATAATGTGCTTTTTCTTAAGTTTCAAGCTTAGATGCCATTGAAAAAGATGTATGCTGTTGTGATCCCCAAAACATTTTTCAAAAAGAAGAATTTCTCAACATTATAAAATTCTCAGTAAAACATGTATTCTGCCAATATTTAACCTATTTTATTCATGCTTTAGTACATAACACAGATTTGAGATGTGAAAATGAGATCTTTGTGTCTATGTCCTATATAATTATGACTGAAACTCACTTAAAAAGAAGTATTTACACAGCAATCTGAAAATCTGAATTAGTCATCGGCCATCCTAGTTACACTTCATATATAAATGCTTTCAAGAGCAATGCTATGTGTCCTTACAAATATTACTATTTCCTATTACCAAATAATATGTTCCTCTTCAATTAAAATGTTTGAAACTTTAAAGATAATTGTACTTATTAAAATTTCTACAGAAAGTGATATTCTCTATGTGAATATATTTTATTCTTAAAAAAGAATTTAAAATTAAAACAAAGTGAAAATTGTAGACTGTATTTCATTCACCTTTCATTCATGCATTCTTTAACATCAACCATGATCTGAGCTGGAAGTCAGGAACACAGAGAGGAAAGAAATAGTTCAGTCATTAAAAGGACTATAATAAAGACTGGTGATACAGCTCAGAAATAGAGTGCTTTCTTATCATGAAAGAAGTTCTAGGTTTAACCCAAAGTTGTACAATGTTTTTTAATGTATATCAAAGAATTTCCCAACATTTAATGAAATTCTTAGAACATAAGCTTAAGTCAGTATTTCACTTATTTTATTCATGTGATAGTATATAACATAATGGCTAGCAGTTACTAGATATTCAACAAATAATTTAACAAATATGTTAAATAAGTAAGCATGATTATATTTATCACCAGAGATTAAAATAATTGCTTCATGGGCTGGAGAAATGGCTCAGAGGTTAAGAATATTTGTTCTTGTAGAAGACCCTGGTTTGAATCCCAGAACCCACATGGTGGTTAACAACTGTCTATAACTTCAGTTCAAGGGGATCTGCTGCCCTCTTTTGTCCTCTACGGGCACTGGACAAACACGAGTGCACTTACTCACATGCAGGCATAATATTCATACATATAAAATAAAAATAAATACATAAATAAAATAATTGCTTCATATTATGTTGTTTACAGTTTGATTCTGCATAAGAAACCTAACAAGACAATTAATAAAACTGACTTGACAGCTCCATAAGGTCAAATACAGCTATGGTTTATTTCACAAGTTATATAAGACAGACTCTGTAAACTCAGTTTCCTTATCTATGAATAGGGAGAAATACACCATTTACATAAAGAGTTACTACACTGCTACCTATACATTTGCTAAATAAACAAATGCATAAATAAACAGTATCTAGATTTCCAGATCCAATATACTGGTGTTTATAAGTTTATAAAAGGTGTTCATGGTGCACATTCTTCAAAATATGGTTATTTACCTATG